GGTGACTCCATGATCTTCACTGACGACCGCGGCCCCACTTTGATCTGCCACGGGTCGGTGACCTCACAAGGTACATCAGTGACTAATATTTCGGCTACGGTGCGCCGTACGAAACCCATTCAGAAAAAACCTTGGGGAAAAGTCCCCTCAGGACACGCATCCGCCAACAGCATGCATTTGGACAGGGGCCAGCTGGCAGTGAGCTTTAAATAATCCACCATTTGTGATGTAGGACAGCACTGGGGCGTCGCACTGATCAGTTGGCTGTTCTGTTTCGCCACGACGATTCTGTATAGCGAACCCGACGAAAAATATGCTGGACTGCCCTTCTCATTGTCTTTCCCCTGTGCGTGTGTGTGTCCTGATTGTCTCTTTCTCCTACCACTCTGACTGACCGTGCTTATTTTACCATTACCTCCCTGATTACCTGTCCTTAACTCACACTGACGATCTCATTGGCTCGGTTGCCAATCGGCCATTTTGATTGGCTGTCGCCCTGACGTTGCTGTTCTCTTCAGCTGATGGCGTTCATTGTTTCGACCTGCCCATGCCGCACTCGATTTTCTTCACGACGGCCACCCTGCATTTCAACATTTCCAACGCCGCCGGGCTGCGCTTCTCAGACTCGTCCAGGGTTCGTACCCGGGGAGATACAGTGACGTGGATGTGCGTTTTGCAACACATGCATCGTCCTCTTCGTGGTGCACATCCACGTCCTGTAAATGGCGGCTCATGACCCCGATGCCATCATCATGAAGTGGACTTTGCATTATATGTATCGTCTTCTCCACAGTGCGCATCCACGTCCTGTAAATGGCAGCTCATGACCCCGGTTCCATTACCACTTTATTTTTGTCACGCGTAAAGCGGATTCATCAAAAGGAAGGTCGCACGCCCTGCAACCCATACTTAGTCGCATTTCAGAGCATACATTGGTCTTCAATGCCATAACCTAGGTTCATGTGGGTTGGCTCTTGTTATGTGTACGCTCAGGAATGAAATTACCCAGAAAATCAAGGTCGAACAGATTGCGTTTCCAAAGTCAGGGGATGTCATTTGTCTCACACGATGGTGATGATGTCTCTTCTGTTTGACTTCTAAGGAACACCACGCAGATTTTAGCACTAGTTCACGTTGCGACAACATTCACTTGCTGTCATCGCAAAATCTGGTCACAACAGGCTTTATTAAGTGGTTTACACGATATGACCCATGAGAAACAAGGAGTGACCTTCTCCCTTGTAGTGTACCTTAAAGGCTATCAGACGACCTGATACGATCAAAGAGTACTGGTTACTTCCGTCCTTCCTGATGTTTAGTTGAAGCGGCCGGCGAAAAACCCAGACATTGGTGCGGTCATGACAGTGTTCTGGCAATATTCTGCGCCAGCCCCCTACCCTTCCTCCACCGGTCGGACCCTTAGTCCTCCCCACGTAGTGTAATATTCTGGTGAGGTCTCTGCCCACAGGTACCCTCAGAAACCTACCAGGCCTTCTGCCAACTCCGCAAAACATTGTACCTTCCCGGATCTTTTCTCAGACGCTACCTGTGCCTTTGTAGTCAACAAGTTTCACCAAACAGGCCTTTTTAAACGTTCTTGCTTACAATAGCTAGAACTTAATAGCACGCGAAACTGGTAATGCTTGAATTTTGAATGAACGTGCAGGTGTTAATGCAGACAAATTTTTGATTGACATACGCCTGGATCAGGACAAGACTTCAATTTTCATTAAATATCAGGGTAAATAAAGATAACACCTTTTTGATCCCAAAATGTTCCACCGAATTCGAGAAAATGTCCTCATGATCTAGAAAATGTCATCCTAAGCTGGCCCCTTGGTCCTAAAAAGGTCACATGATCCATGGGAGCAAGATACCCAATGCAAGGAAGGGGCAAACAAGGATCCAAAACAAGTGCGTTCTAATGACAAAAGCTGCTCTGAGCTCTAGTATATCAGTCGTCTTAGCCTAGAAGGGGCCTCCTGATCAGAAACGGGGCCTCCTAACAAAAAAAACAAAAAAAAAAACAGTGGACCTTGATTCGCAAAGGGTCCTCCCAAACCAGCGAAAGGTCTCTTGACCCCAGAAGAGCGCACCTTGATCCCTAACCAGATCTTCCTTATTTGTAACGGGGCCTCTTATTCCAGAAATAAATGAGTTTAGGTAAATGGAAGATATCGTAACTTTGCAAGGAGTCCCAGTATTCCTTATGAGAGCCACAACACAAGAAAGGGACCTACTCATACAAAGCTGCTGTCCGCATAACGAGGGCCTTTTTATCAATATTGGACCTACCAAAACCAGGAAAAGGCGTCCTTATCCCATTCCAAAAGCCTCCTTATCACATATACAGGACACCCTAAGAGGTAGAGGTCAGGTAGTCTGTTAATCCAGGCAAGGATAATCCGGATTGACAGGAATGCTGAAAAATATAAAAAGGGTCTTTTGAAACACAAGCTCGACATTTTTATCCGAATCAGTAGACTACTAATGTCCAAAAGGTGCTGTTTGTCCCAGAATATAAGCCTATATTGAAGAAGTCATCAGATATGGTGAAACAAGCTCACTTATGAATATTAGTATACTTTTAAGTGAAAAACTGCTCTAGATAAGACAATTCTCGGCTTAGTAAATGTGCTCCTCGATGCGTCATAACTTGTTTGCATCATCATACCTTGCACAACAATGATTGAAAGCCTATTTCCTGCAGTTACATCTGGAAATATCGCTCAAGAACGCCAGATATGAACGCCTCAACAATTACATTCTTCTTGGTCTTGATCGCCGCATTCCTTATTTCTGGCTGCTGGTTTCTGGATCTGGCTCCTGGCTCCTGGATCGTCGCGTCGCGTGAAAAAGCCAGTAAGCCAGAAAGTGTCAAAATTCTAGTGAAGCATAGCCCATTTTTGTTCGGCGTATTGCATATGTTTTGTCAGAAATTCCCAGCGACAGAACCAGCACAATGGATTAAATCAGATCGCAACCTATAAGCCGCGTACAAATTCTCCAAACCAACTGGTAATGCCGGAAAAACAATGCTTGTATGAAGCACAGCGCCGTGCAAGAACTATACGTCAAATCTTGTTCCAACAGAAACTCCGCCAATTACTTGGATATCCTATTGACCTGCGGAGACCAAGTTGTTTTGGTGGACTAGTTTCTCCTCTGCCGTATACCAGATGTGCACCTTCGTACTATCACAATCAGCCAAATTTCGTGCAGACGCAGCCAAGTTCCCAGCATCAATGTGCTCCAATGCAGCTACGATTCAAACCAACATACGTACGGCTTATGGAATGACACGCTTTTGAATGGCGTTGTTATGGCGTCATGAATGTCAAAATGACCCTGAAACACTCTCCCCGAAATTCTCTCCCACTTTTCGCGGGCGTGTGGCTTAGAAATTAAAGGGGTTTAAATCTTAAGGATGACAGGGTTGTGAACAACACCGAAAGATCTTCAAAATGGCTATTTGCGTTCAAAAATCTATATAAATATGGAACACTCCTTTCAACACAAAATAGTGCCTTCTGGCCGAAACCTGGGCTGTCGCATCCACAAAGATGCAAAAATGATCTTTATCCTTTACGCATATTTATCATTTAATGATATCATATATTATCACATTATCATCATTTCTTCTTTATCATCATCGCTTCATCTGATCAGAAAGGGCGCATCATGGGGAAGAGTTTGTTTGTGGCCCCTAAAATGTTTGGGAGGTCCCTTCCCCAAAAGAAAACACTGTATCTTTTCGTAAGTTACCAAAGTTAAGGTCAAGAAGGCCATGCCATAATTAAGCTAGAAAGTGATGTGACCTGATGTGATGTGTGTGAGAGCGTACCCAGACAACCACTTCCACATCAGGACGCTCGTTTGTAGGTTCATGAGAGCAACTTTATGAATACGGGAGCCCATCCTCTAGATAAGGAGGCCCAACATTATGTTCGGGGGCTCCTTTGCTGACTGACCACCCGCTATCGACTAGGGAGCTTCCGTTCTGAGTAGGAGGCACGATCTATGTTCAGGAGGGTTCAATCGTTGACCAGGAGGCCCTTTCAAGGCCTCCTGGTCAGGAGGCCCTTTCATGCATCAGACGACTGCGGGTCTGGCTCAGGATGTCCCGCTTTGGATAACGAGGCCCCTTGGCCAGCTTTATACGCCCCTTTGTGAATTAAATGCATTCCTCTCTGGAGGCGGAGGCTCCCCTATGCACAGGAAGCCCTGTTTTGGAACAAGAGGCCCTGTTTCAAGTTAGTGGGACCCTTTGCCGGAAAATTAGATGATGGCCACTCAGTTTTTATTTCTTTGGGAGGGGGAGGAGACATGCCCGATGCTTAACTCATTGAAGACGACAGTGCCCAGGAGCCCCCCGCGCTGTGAGAGAGCCCCATTTTGTCCAGGAAGCCCCTGGAAATCCTTCCCTTAACTCAAAGTCCGTGTCGCCCATGCACTTGATGCAGAGGAGGGTTTTTTGAGTCTGATTCAGTACCCTAGCTCAGTCATAGGGTCTCACACATCTAAACTTTTGATGGACGTATGTGTAGCTGCAGTATTTTTGTTTGGGAAAAAGTGGGCACTGATGCCAATGGGGTAAAACATACTCTGCCACCTTTCGATGGGCGGCGAGAGCAGCACCCCATCCCCCGCCCTGCTGCGCCGCCCTTTGTCAGTGAGGTACAACAATACGTGGTGTATGTTTGTATCTGAGTGCGCGTGGGTGGGACTAGTCAGTTTTTGTGCTGCTTATCACCGAAATAAAGTGCTGATGTCATTAACTGACTCATTAGCTTTTCTAGTAGTCTTGTTTTTTAAGACGACCTTATGTACCATTATCTGAGGTCATCCATTCGTAAGTACAAATCCTAGTCAGTAGCCAACACTGCGCGAGCTGTATTGATGCACTGCAAGCACAACCCGGAAAAGGTGCTACCAATTTTGCCACTGTCTGCGTACTTGGCGTACAAGTCCTTGCATCATGATGTTTCCTTGTCTTTCAGGTGTCCATCAAGGGCTTCACGCTGGTGACGCTGATTCAGACGGACAAGCCCCGATACCGTCCCGGGGACAAAGTCCTGATCCGTGTCATATCCCTGCGGACTGACCTCACTCCTGTTATCGAAAACGTGAGCTGTTGAACATCGCATTGATTCACTGCCAAACCCTATGGGGTGATTATTTGAAGAGGGCTATAACCTATTTCCAGTGATCGCTGCTCGGAGAATGTGAATATCATTAGGAAATGCAAGCAGGTAGTGACGAACGGCTGCCGAAGTCCCAACCAAGTTTATTCATTGGTGACATGTGCTGATGCAGCAAAGCGCTGTGGTGTGTTTTTTAAAGTTGTTGTCATGCTGAAAAGGAACTCATCTGCAACGCCGTATAATTCAGTGCAAGCCATGTGCCGAATGTGTTTATTTCTAAATCGGGCACTGCTCCTCAGATTCCGGAGGTGCGGGTGACCACCCCAGACAACATTCGCGTCGCCCAGTGGAGAGACATCAAGACCACCGGAGGCCTCATCCAGCTGGAGCTGCAGCTGACCGAGGAGCCGCCCCTGGTGAGGTCACATGGAGGTCGAGAGTCAGCCCTGGTGCGGTTATACTCTCTCGCCTCTCCGCTCGTTGCGTGGTGGAATCATACTCTGATAAAGGGGTCGCCTTTGATGAGGCCACATGGAGGTCAAGTGTCCTGCGTATTGCAGGTATACCTCCTCCACTCCTACCCGGTGAGATCACGCTCCGATCAAAGAGTCAATGCTGATGAAGCCTTTCAGCAACCTGCTGCCATCTACTGGCATGAATTGGTACATACCTCGACTGAGTAACAAAGCCGTGCCCAAGACCGCAAAAACTGCCTACGTGCACCCAAGCACCGCTGGGAGCATTTCGGCAGCCTTCGTCATTGACTTTCAGGGTCGCTGGGATATACGTGTGGAGACCAATGGACTACCCAAAACCGAACATTTCCTGGTGGAGGAGTATGTGCTGCCCACATTCGAGGTCAAAGTAAAGAGCCCCAACAACCTGCTGGAGGGAGAGAAGACAATCGCCGTCGACGTCTGTGCCAAGTAAGCCCTGATTGGCGGGAAATGGTGCATTAGCTGATGGCGTCATCGCTAAAAATGAGGTCTGATGTGCAGAGAGAATTGTTGTGCCTTAGGTTCTGATTTGCGGAAAACGGTTCACCAACCGGCCATTTTTACAGGGTTTCCGATGTCATCAAACATTCCCGGTTTACCATTCCGTTATGTGGCGAGAACTCTGCTTTCCCAGTATTTCCTGACACTGGCCACCTGGTGTTTCGACACTTAAAGTGTCTGACGCCGTATGATATGTTACAGCCTGAATGATACAAGGCACCAACGGTGATTTTTTTATTACAGCATGTCACATATATGTAAACAGGAATTTACTCTTGGTTAGTCGTGAACTGTCCAGCACATTTCTGAGTTATCTCGTTTCAACAAATCGCACTGAGTATGCCGTAGGCGATCTCCTGAATGTTGGGTCATGGCAGCCCTAGGTGAAGTAGTTGAAGGTCAAACAAGCCCACCACTGGAAGAGTACTTGCTGTTGGCAGCACACCGTGGATGAATTAACATCAAAGACATCGACATGTTTTCAAAGGCAATGGTAGCAACAATGGACACGGCGCGTGAAGTATGCGCAATGGCGCGACAATTGCTCAGATACTGGGTCAAGTGTGATTTAATTGGACCAAGCGCAATAACAGGCAATGTAAGATAATCTGCATGCATCGGTGGAGCTGATTTGCTGTCACAGGTCTTTCAGTTAGGGGGAAGACTTCGTTTGATGCGTTCAAAATGACTTTCGCAACAACGTGCTCTAATATTTTGGCGAAGGTTGATGACCGCATGTGCCGATTGACAACAAGGATGGTCTCTGTTATTGCATGTCGTCAAATTTTGCCTTCGAAAAGCCTCGCAACGCAAGATCCTTGGGTCAACTTACCTCCTAACCCGAAGGTTTTTCGGGAATGATTTCCGAATGGCGCAATGTGGCCACGCCAAATTTGGCGTATCTGTAAACAATTAAATAGCGGACCGTTTGGTAAGAAAAGTCTAGGTTTACCATATAAGGTCATTTACCTACGGCAGGTCAACGTTACGACATGATTTCAGCGAAAACACTATCTAGGTAATCATTCAGTCTGATGAAAAACGGGATGTTAGATAAGTTGTGCACCTTTGAGACAGTTTCTTAATCAATACGACAAGTAAAATAGCAAATCTTATTGACATAAGGTCAGGTATGAAGGTCAGATCAAGGTCAAAACCAGCTTGTTTTACCTTAGAGCTTATTCTATGAAGTAGTTTATGGTGATTATTTTGAATTTATTGATAACTTGAGCCGCATTACATATCTTTCATAGACTTCGTTAAGATCAGAATACGTCACTGATCTAAAATGAACCAGGTAAACATTTTTTTTAGGGACGTACGACCTAGCATAATCCTTGACGCTTATTCAAATGCAAACATCAAAACTGTCCTTTATGATTTTCGCCACCATGAGCTTTGGAAGATCAGACAAGGTCACTGACCTTAGAAAAGTACAAGTGAATTTTTCTTAGAACAGGTATTTAGGCGCATTGGTTGCATTAGAAGGTCTGGGGCAGCTCGGACACCAATCTGAAGTCTTACTTTTTGACCCCATTTGACCTGAAGATCATAATCTAGTAACCTCAAATTCTGATACAAGTGTAACGTGTAACGGACAAGCAAACATACCCTGTGGATTGGTGTCTCTAGCTCTCCTATTTTCTGAGATCTCAGTGGGTCAAATTGGCCACCACCCCACCCAAGCGAAGGGTATCCAACCGGCCACCCGGACGCGTGTTAAGACGTCACGAGATGACGTTCGCTGACCTTGCGCACCTCAGGTACACCTTCGGTCAGCCACTGATTGCAGCCGCCGTGACGGTGAACGTGACGACAAGGCGCGGTCCTGCAAACAGTATAAGTGACACCCTCACGGTGAGTCTGTGGCTGCTGGGGCTATCTAGAATGTTGACAGCTGTTTGTGACATCTTGACCTGGCGTCGGAGTTACGGGGTCATGACTGTGATGCCTCGACAAGCCAATAATTATCAGGGCTGATTATTACCATCAACATTTGCTGAGAAACCAAACCCTCTTTCGTCACGTGACCGACAGGTGACCTCTGTACCGGTTAGCGTTGTACACAGCCGGCGTGTTGCCCCGTGTGGGCTGTTACAGACGAGACACCATATCACATGACCATTGTTACAGACGACGTACGCTACCGTGTTTTTGTTGTTACAGACGAGAGGTGTTACTGTGCTTGATTTGCTACAAGCGAGACACATTACCGTGTTTCTGTTGTTTTTGACGAGGTTCGTTACCTTGTTCCCGTTATTACAGACGGACGAGACAGGCTGCGCCTACTCAGATCTGGTTGTGGATGAGCTATTGTCAAGGCCATACGCTTCAGTAAGTAATGAATCATTCTGATGTAAGTAAACCACTTGTACTTGTTCTGCTCGGCCATGTTTTTGTGATGCAATTGCTGCACCGAAGAGCACTGCACTGATCGTGATACAACGTGTCCAGGATAAAAACAACGGTGGTGTTAATCGGCACCCCCTGAAGACGACTTGGTAGACGAGAGATACGTCAATGGCCCGGCAATCACTTGAAACATCATCAAAAATATATAAATTGTAAATCCGCAACATCTGCAAGCATTGCGGGTAGTGTTGCAGATTGTGAGCTTTGTGAGGTATGAGTGTCACGGATTGTTACCTTCATAAGGTATGAACGTTGCACATTGGGAGCTTTGCTCACAATATCAACGAGAAAATATGGAAAAAACTATTGTGCCCAGTAACGCACAAGTAGACGGAATATTCTCAGATTGAATATTGCATTACAGAAAGTGATAAACTAGATATATCTTTATTAAAAAGTATATGATCAAAACAGATAAGCTGAAGTACACCACTGTAGTATACCAACTGGTTGTAACATCTGCAGTGTCTGTAGCAAGATCGCAAATAAATCATCCGGACAGTAAAGATGACACTGACAACCATGTAGGGTTTCGGCTAGTGAAGTGCAGAAGTGTGATTTGCTAAGTTGAATGCATAGGCCGTACGAGCGCAACATGCCGTACTATTTAAGTCCCTCTGGTCTATATGTCGTTCAGTGCATTACCGAGGAACTTTATATACAGATAAGACAGTAGTATTAGCCTTATTCCCCGGGGAAAAACCAGGGGAATGGAGACAAAGTTGGGTGATATTTCAGCAGCATGCCTTTATCGAAACAATAGCAGAGGTGTTGCTTGTTCCTTGTTGTTCGTTCACCTTCTGCTATTGTTTCGATAAAGGCATGCTGCCGAAATATCAACCCCAAGTTTATCTCCATTCTCCTGGTTTTTCTGCGGGGAATGAGGCTAATACTGCTGTCTGATCTGTGTATAAAGTTCCTCGCTAATGTACTGAACAACTTACAGACCAAAGAGACTTAAATAGTACGGCATGTTGTGCTCATGCAGCCTACGCATGCTGCCGAAATATCAACCCAACTATGTATCAATTCTCCCGGATTTTCCCAGAGAATAAGGCTATTACTACTGTCTTATCTCTTTGGTCTGTATGACGCGCGACACTGGCCACCCAGCAGATGTTCGGATGACTGGTGCTCTCGAGTGACTGGTGATACGTGGTCTGGTACTTCTCAAACGGAGGTACCTTCAGGGCTGTATTGCCAGACCGGACATTTTGTTATCCTTTGACGCCGTGTGTGTCACGTAAACACACGGACATGACCGATAATCCCGACTATAGCTGACTGTAAGTGAGGTTGTTTTTCCTTCAAGAAATCTACGCGCAGTTTTTGGATAATTTCTCTTGATCTTAGATACGTTGGGAAAAAAAGCTTTAGTGGGCGGTAATCGGTAAACGCATTATTTTTGGATGATGCAAATGCTGGCTGTATCATCTGTTTACTAACTCCAATGTGACCTGTTCGATCTCAGGCCCTCATTAACGTGACCGTGGAGGAGTTTGGCACGGGTCTCAGCCAATCACAGACGCGTTCGGTGCACAGACCTCCCTCCAGATCCGCCACGGGCTACATTCCAGACAACACCCAACGGTTCATCAAGCCCGGCCTGCCCTACTACGGCCGGGTCAGTTTGTGTTTGTGTGTTTGCACGGAGTACGCTGTCGAAGGCCATGCCTCCTGCTATCACGGCCTCGGTTGACTGATGGTGATGGAGGGCGCTTGTGTTATAGGTTGCCTGTGAGTGCAATGATGATGTCAGTCTTTGCAATGGCTAGTGCAGACTTGTTTGGCTTCGCAGGTATGCCTGTAACCCAGCTGCCTGGTTGAGGATGGTCAGGGCTGATGGGTTTTACATGCACATGACGTGTGCATTTCTCTATGCATCGGATTTTCAAAGAGGATATCAATATTTGGAGTGCATATACAGAACATGAAAAGCGATTTCATTGTCTGAAAGAACTGCGGTATGTTCGTGAGACACCGTGCATTCGCAGCATCTTATCATTTCAGCATCGCATTGACGCATATGGCACGCCATCGTCCGATTCTAGTTCAGTGCCTTCGACCGGAATAGCTCGCCCCTTGCCGAAAAGGACGTCCTGGTGTGTTTTAAGGCCAACTACAAGGACAGAACTGCCATGTGAGTGCGCTACTCGTTGCGTTTTCATCATCCATCTTGCGGGCGAAAAATTTTAGCTACTGGCACATCTAAGCAGACGTAATATGTGTCACTAAACTTCGCTAAACTAACGCTAAACTTCTTTTTTCAACACCACTTCATTATTTTCTCATTCATTGTTCGTGCTGTTTTAACTGGAAGAAATGAGCTCATACATTGTTTGCATGATTGTGATGTGTTTGAAGAGAATGTTGCTTGTTCTTTGTTGTTTGTTCACCTTCTGCTATTGTTTAGATAAAGGCATGCTGCCGAAATATTACCCAACTATATCTCCATTCTCCTGGTTTCTCTCCGAGGAATGAGGCTAATACCGCTGTTTTATCTGTGTATAATGTTCCTCGCTAATGCACTGAACAACTTACAGACCAAAGAGGCTTAAATAGTACGGCATGTTGTGCTCATGCATCCTACGCATGCTGTCGAAATATCAACCCAACTATATATAAATTATCCTGGATTTTCCCAGAGAATAAGGCTATTACCACTGTCTTATCTCCTTGGTCCGTATGACATGCAACACTGGCCACCCAGCAGATGTTCGAATGACTGGTGCTCTCGAGTGATTGGTGATACGTGGTCTGGTACTTCTCAAACGCAGGTACCTTCAGGGCTGTATTCCCAGACCGGGCATTTTGTTATCCTTTGATGCCGTGTGTGTCACGTAAACACACGGACATGAGTTTTCATGAGAACACGGTGCCATAACCCGGAGCGATAGGACAACGACACGGGCCCCGACGGCGCGACACGGAGGAAAGGGACAGCGGAATGGAACCACGGGACCATTGCATGTGACCATGGAGACATGGCACGCGACCACGGGACCATTGCACGCGACCAAGAGACCATTACACGCGATCAATGGACCATTGCACGCGATCACGGGCCCACTGCACGCGACCAAGGGACCATTGCACGCGACCACGGGACCACTGCACGCGACCACGGGACCATTGCGCGCGGCCACGGGACCATTGCACGCGATCAAGGGACCATGGCACACGACCACGGGACCACTGCACGCGACCACGGGACCATTGCGCGCGGCCACGGAACCATGAGACAGGACCAAGGCATTGTGCCGTACCACCTTAACGACTCATGGTGTGCCTTTTTCCACGCTAAGCTGTGCGCCACTGAATATGTGTTTCACGATGGGTGATGTGACATTTCAGAAAAAGCGGGAGCGGTCCCATCAAGACCATAGATGACGCCCTGTTTGACGTCTATAGAAGGGTATGTCGGCTCGAAAGGGGCTGTGTATCTAATAACATAACAGAGATGTTCTGTTTTCCCTGTCGCTGTGGCGACGTATGCTGCCAAGCGACGTTTTTCCCTCTTAGCGCTCTCTGTTGAAATTAAGATAGACATGACTGCGGAACTCGTCGATTTAGATACCGATTGATCAGGCCCATTTGACCTGACCTGCCTAGAACCACGACTCGACTCCGCACTGTCTTTCCGTATCTCGTACATCCCACCCTGTCCTATCCTGTTCGCTATACTTTCTGTATGCATACTGATGCCGTTGAACCCCCGCTGTTCTTGCGTTGTCCTTCCCTGTCCTGTCCTGAATTGACTTGCCCCGACCGGACCTGACTGGACCTGACCTGCCCTGCCGAGCAGCACTCGGAGCGCTTGCAGAACGAGTTCGGCTACACGCCGCTGATCTGGGAGACGGAGGATCCGGAGCGACTCTCGACGGCCGAACAGTGCCGCAACTTCACCACCGACAGTCAGGGCCAGCTCCTCTACTTCGTCCCGCCGCAATCGCCCATCGTGGACAGTGTTGACGTCAAGGTCAGTCTGACGTGGCGTCATTGTGAATGTGGTGACGTCATATCGTCGTGTGACGCCAGATTCGGCATGATACGTCAGGTTCAGGAAGTGACTTCGGGGTTGTGGCGTTAGCTTCGCTTCAGGGTGACATGCTTGTGGTGGTGTCAGGGTCCGTGTGTGACGTTAGGGTGAGTATGTTGAAAGCGGAATCAGTTTCGTGACGGCATAGTCGGTGGCGATTTCAGGGTCAGTATGAAATGTCAAAGGCGCTGTGCGCTGCTAATGCCAATATGCTAGCATGGTTAGTGTGGTGACGTCATGGTCAGCGGCGGGACGCAAAGGCTGCTGCGTTGACACCAGAGTCACTGTGGTAGAGTCATCGCTAATTTGATCACGCTGGGTAAGTGGGTGACATCACGTTAAACGTAGGGGTTTAATTTTGTTGACGTAGACTTGCCAGAGCCAGCGTAGTGACGTCAGACCAAATGTGGTGATGTCAGAGCTAGTGTGGCTGGGTCGAAGTCACTGTGGTAATGTCACACATTGTTGTTTCGTCAGGGTGAGCAGGTTGGTGCCAACGTTGTTTTGTTAACATCAGGGTCGACGACGTGGTGGTGTCTTCTTTCGCCGAATAAGGCTACGGCCAGCGTGCGACATCAGAGTAGGAGTGGTGACGTCAGCTTAGTGACGTCAGAGTCAGTGTGGTGACGTCATGGACAGCACACGAAAGTCGAGACTGGTATCATCACGTTTCCGACGGTATTGTGACTTTCAATCATTTTCAGTGACGTCAAAGCCTTCGTATGATGTCAGAGCATGTGGCATGGCGCCGGCATCTGTAGCCTGATGCAAGAGCACGTGGAGTGTGTGCACGTGTGGAGACGTCCATGTCCATTTGTCGACTCTCATTAGCTACATGACACAGTTTAACGTTGACGGCAGCAGGTGACGTCACCGCACAGTGAGAGGTTACAGTGGCGCGTGGTACGTCCACCAGCTGAATCCGGGAAGAGGCGACGGTGACGTGGAGCGCAATCTCGTGGCCTTCTTTTCCCCCTCCGACTCGTACCTCACCATTGACGCCCACCTGCTGCCCAACGAGCTGCCATGTCGCGGTGACATTACCGTCCAGCTGCTGACGTCGCTGGAGACGGACGTACCGCCAATGGTATACCAGGTACGACGCTGACGTCATGGGCATTTGTGACGATGACACTAAGAAAAGAACGCCTCAAACGCTAGATGTCTTTGGTTAAGGGATTTTTCTACAGGACTATCCTCGCTGAGACAGGAATCAGTCGGCTTCATGCTCTGTCAGAATCCTCGGCTTGAATTCTGGCTTCATGCCAGATGGCTTCACGCTCTGTCAAAATGTTCCCTCAGTCTTGTTGCATGCGTTGCGCAAGCACTAAAAGGAACCGGAGTCACGTGACGTCATCTCCATGGCCCCTCTGTTTGGCAGGTAATGGCGCGTAGCCAGATCCTGCAATCAGGCCGAGTGTTCAGTTCGAGCCTGACACTGCCGGTGACGCCGGCCATGAGCCCGCAGTTCAAGCTGCTGGTGTTCTTCGTGCTGGACTCGGGCGAGGTGGTGAGCGACGCGGCTATCCTCAAGGTGGAGAAGTGCTTCAACAACCAGGTGCGACAGAGTGCGGAAATAGGTGCACTGAAAACGAGTGACATTTGAAGTGCAGTAGTGTTGTCGAAGGACTGGTAGATTCCAACATTACGGTCTTCTGTAGGGACTCAGCAACAAAGCTTAGAACTACGCCTGGAGGGACTGCCCCGTGTTTGAAGATGCTGAAACAACCATCAGATATAATGGCATATGCTCACTTAAAATTATGGGCATACTTTTCAGTGGAAAGACTCTACAAACCACAAATTTTTTTTCGTTAAATTTGCTTCTAAACACGTCATTGTTTCCTGATACCATGGATCGGCTGAATGACGTTAGAGGTACTGCCAAATCGGCCGTGCGAAATTGCCGACCTAGCGCTCACTTGTAGTGCTTCAACTTGTCGATAGGTGACAGTGGCGGTGCTGGACGTGTTTGCTGAAGCAAATATCGTTATGTGCTCGTGTTTTTGCACTTCACCTGATGCTCTTGCATATTTGTCGGTGAAATTACGCCTTTGAATTGTTTTCTTATGCTCAGTTATGACGCTATAAATCAATTATTCGACTACAAGTCTTATCTCCGTAATAACTAGCAGTCATGCCCAACTTCTTATATCATGCAGCGCAAAACGTGATTTGTGTTTGAAACTTGCTCTGCCTTCACAACATTGATTGACAACCTATTAGAGCCATTGGCTTAAGTCGGTGTTACCTAGAAACCCTGCACACGAACGCCAGGCACGAACCACTCGACGGTTATCCTTGTTTTGGTCTTGAACGTCGCATGGCCAGCGGGGTGGCAGCATTCGAACTATGCATGCCTGAGTAACCTTGAAATAATAAGCGCGAAGTAGTTTGCACATATTCGCGGGAGTATAGCTCAGAACCTAGAGGGTTGTAAACGGCGCCGAATAATCTTCAGGATGGCTTTTTGAGTTTAAAGCCCTACACAGATGGGGAACACAGCATGCGCAATGGTCAGACTACGGAAACTCGAGGCAAATTTTCTTAATCTCGCGCGAAGAGTGCGAGCACTTGAAGAGCCCTCGCGCAGCCGGGAGTACCACGGCGGATAAAAATATGGGGCACCGACAATAGTATATACAGCTTTTAAGGCGAATGACCGCGGAGAAGCCCTGATCGATCGAGGGTGCCCAGGCATGCTGAGAGGTAGCTTCCCGACAACAGCCAAGGGCCTCCGGGTAAATGCAAACAAATCAAGGGCATCGTGGAAGGCTCCTTAACGGTCGGATTGATTTTGCAAGTGGACCTATAGGTCGCCTAGTAACAGTGTAGGGACCTGGACGGCGAAATGAGCTTTAAAATCTCCCCAGCCACTACCCTCTCAATCGGCAAATGAGTATTTGTGCCTGATCTTGGACCGTTCGCTTTCGTACGCAACCGTTCTTTGTCGCCTGGAGGACGAAAAACAGTCAATTTTGTTGCATTCTGTTTTTGAATATGTGCCCCTCCGGGCTCCAAGGGGAGCGGGCATTACCCCTACCCCTTCCTCACCTTCTGGATCCGGCAATGCTTACATCTTCTGTTGTCAGGTGGATGTCAGCTGGGACAAGGAGACGGCCCGGCCCGGGGAGTCCGCCTCTTTTACCGTCAGCGCCTCACCCAACTCCGTGTGTGGCGTCAGTGAGTACCCCCTACCCCTGTCACGTGCTGTCACGTGACCTCTCAGCAGCATCAGCTGTGTCAGGCGTGCACGAGGCAGAGGTGTCCGCAAATCCTACTAGCGGGCAGTCAGCTGTTACCCAGTAGAACTGTTCGTTACGCTGTCCACTCAGAGATAAACCCATTGTTTTGATTGCCCCCCTCTGAAGCATGATGGCCAATGTTCATCCCTCCCTACCACTTCAGCGGCAGTACTCGCCGAGTGTTCCCCAGATGCCATTGACATTCATACCTATCGACGGCTCTGGTCCTGGCCGCAGTCCATCCCGGATGTTTGAAAGGCAGCAGAAGCACCCTGTTTAGAAGCGACTTCCGTAGACAGCCCATGACTCTCTCTAGACAAAGCTTGCCGCTTCCAGCAACACACAACCTCTACAAGTGATATCAAGTAACCTTTGAGACAGGTTTTGACGCCGCAGCTGCTGGAGTTATGCGGTTACCATCGGCTGGTGGGAAACAGTCAGTTTAGCCTGCCTGAGAAGTAAACTGATCCTCTGTATACGTGCAGAGGACTAGTTCTCTCAGTTCTAAAATCCTGTTCTCCCGTTCTCATGTGGAGAACAGGAGTTTTAACCACACCGACGCATGGATGAATAGAGCGGTGTGATAGGCATGACATAGGTCACACAAGCGTGATTTATCAGATCACATTTTTTGTAGGTATTCACGCAAAGTTACTCGTTCGGATCATTGCATCACATCTGCTACGCTCAGCATTCTCTTGCTGTGCTCCTCTGCTGTCGACCGAGCACGACTGATTGTGTTCTCCCGACGACATAGCACGGCTGACGGTGTTCTCCCAACGACCGAACACGGCTGACGGTGTGCTCCCGAGGACCGAGCACGACTGGCGGTGTGTTCCCGACGGCTGAGAACGACTGACGGTGTGCTCATTTCGACCGAGCACAACTGGCAGTGTGCTTCCGCCTGCAGGCGCCGTGGACCGGCGCACAGAGCTGCTGGGCACTGGCAACCAGATTACCGTGGAGGACGTGTTTGGTCGGCTGAGGCAGTGGATCACAACCGCCTTTCACGCCCCTAGACAGGTCATCAGCCGGGGGGAGAGGGAAGGAGATTGGTGGTGTCATCTTTGACCGGCCGGTACACGTAGAACAGATCTATCGACCTTTTATGCTGACTGTTTCCTTCTCGGTGACGCGAAGGAATAGATTAAAACATTGTCGACACTTTTCCTCACACAGCCCCACCACGCAATCCTCGTCTTTTGCAATGCAGCATGAAAGGTCCCTTCAGTCTGAAATGTTAACTTGCTTGTGTCACGCATCTTCCCCTCCCCGTAAACCCAAGCAAGCCGTGTTGAAACCCGGTACTTTGATCATATTAAGATCCACCGCTGTGTCGTGGAATATGTATGATATGATGCATGTGATAACGATTTCAGATGGACACAGAGACGTATTGTCAAAACCTACAGAGCAGGCTGGCTCACATCCTGCAAAGGTATGTCTGCCTTGGGAAGCGGGGGTCCTCCACGCACTAGTCTGTCTTTGCGAGAGGCGGAGCCAAGGGTGTTGAAGAGCATTGAATGCAGGTTGACGAGAAAGAGAGAGAGAGAGAGAGGGAGAGAGCGAGAGGTTGTCTGACAACTGCTCGCGTCACGTTTCATCTTCAGAGTCCGGTTTTTGCAAGCCTCGGGAGATGACCACTTTCCTTCCGTCACCGTTCAATAAAGCAACCCATTCTTGCGTGCGACGTCTCCGTAAGTCTCGGATACTACCATTTGTGGCTATTTCCGGTGTCTTCCAGTGATGTGGAAATAATCGTAACCAGTTCTGTTCCATGGATCACCTTTTGACTTCCGGCTAATCAATCACATTTGCTATTGCAAACCGTCTGCAGTGATACGAGTGAGCTGTCCTATTATTAATTACATGTATACTTCAGGCAGATTCATGTTTGTTCCAAGCGCCAGAGATCAGTCATGCATGTGAACGATTTTGGGTTAGCACGCATCACACATCAACGCAATCACGCAACGCATTTCTGTCTCATTCTCCTGGTTTATCTATAGGGAACAAGGCTGTTATTGCTGTCTTAACTACTCGTTTTTCTTTGATCTCCCACAGCCTTGGTTGTTTTCGCCTTCCCATGCCCGTAACACGCAATGCCGTAGAGATCTTCCCGATCTCTTTACATCTGGATCGCAGGCTCTTGAAAGCACCTGGGAATGAACAGATAAATAAGCGCCCAAAACACTGTAAATATCCTAATGCACTAACGCGCATGCTGGTGAGAAGTCGGACCAGATGATGTATCGTTTTAAGGGCAGCAAACACCATGTGAGATTCTGCACTTGGTCCTTGAATACGGTTTATGACACTGTGGCGATTGTGCCACATTCGAAGGATGTTTGTGCTCGTGTACAGATGACTGAACTGAGGACAGCTCCCATGAGTTAAAGTACCCAGCATTACTTTGTTCAGTCGGTGCAAAGCCATCCTTTCATGCATGCAATTGTATCAGTCAGATGGCTGCAATTTTTGGTGACTTATCGAATTAGGTACCAAAGCGAAATCGATGGCATACGCTGGTGAAAGGCCTTTTTGAATTCCTCCCTCCATCTTTTCATTCGTAGTCAAAAGCTTGCGTTACAGTGTTGATAGCGACTTTGGTGTAATGAGAATTGCATGGTTCAAGTATTTTCAGCGTCACTGTCTAGGCACCATCACTGGTATTGGCCAGACAATGCTGTGCATTGGATGACACTGACATGGCATGCTATACGCACTTAATATGCAACACCAAAATGACGGAGACGTGGCGAAATACAAATCCTGGTTGACTTGATTTGCGGTTTAATGTCAGGGTAGCATTGTAGCGCAACGGTCTTCTGCGGGCCTAGTCCCTGGCTCGCCGGGATGGGCAGGGCCGAGGTCAGATATTTTATAAAATAGTGCGCTTTTGCTCCAAACGGAGGTTGTAAAAGTGTACCTTTTGTCGCCGACCAAATTTTGCAGGGAAATTTACCGCAAGCAGCGTAACAAGACACCATATGATATAAAATGGTATGAAGTCCATGCACAGTAGCGGCATCAAGAGTCAGTTTATCAATGAAAGCTCCTTTCATCACCGCAATTTTCACAAAACGCTTCAATTATACAATGTCCTTCAACTAATGCCAGGATAACTGCTCCTGCTAGGAAAGCAGGCGCAACGGCAGGCCCTAAACTATCGGCAACGCAACGGCAAAAGCAGGCCCTAAACTATCGGATAACCCCATCACAATGGCAGTTTTCTGCCACCTTCGGGACTCGCAGGGACGTCGCGTTTAAACTCGATCTAGGGCTGGAATTGCTTTCCTCCACCGCGAAAAAAAACGACGAAGGACCTCTATAGCCAGCTGAATACATGGCAGAACTTGAACCGGTGGCGAGCAGCACAGGGATGACGTCACACAGTGAACCTCCCCGAGGTCATGCCCCTAATGAAAATCACGTGTGCGCTTCGAGCCCCATCTCAACCCACATCAAACTCTACATCCTACCTTAGGCATGCTCCAAGCCTGGCACATGTGTTGCCGGGCGGGTGCCTTTCACCGGTGTCCCCAACTAGTAGATAGCATTACAATTAGTTAAAAGCTTCACACCAGGCTTCTAGTTCTAGCTGAACAATATACCTCGCTCTGACAGGAGGGAGGGAAGCGATACCACTCCCAAATACGATTTTTGTGAGGATACCAGTCCGGAATACTGTGTAGTAGCGCTGAAATCCTCAGTAGCCTCTGGGGCATCTATTGCGCGTGGTGTTGACACCAAAAACGTGTCCCAAGCGTTTCTGATTTCGGAAAGCGACTGTTATTTACGAGCACCGCAAGGCGATCCCATGCCGGCGGGGACAGCAAGCGGCAAGCGACAGCAAGCAGCGACGGGGACAGCAAGCAAGCGACGATTTCGAGGGGCCTCACGCGGAGGGCTGGTGCTGTTACATTAACGAGGGTCTCCATTATAAATGCAGGCTCCAAACAGATTAAACTGCATACCGTTTCACTCATAATTAAACGAAGAAGAATATGGCTCTTTACTTTCCATGTCTCTCGCGCTGCATAGCTTCGTACATATGAGCATGCAAAGCTGAAATAGTTTGATTTTCAGGAAAATTTGACCGTTGACTTGATCGAGTGGGAGGGACTAACAACACCATCATCAATATGATTTTTTCCTAGATTGACACACTTCTTCACAAACCCAGTGGAAGTGATGGGGCCCTGAAATCAATAGGAAACCAGGTACAACTAGGTGCAACTCTCATTTGTATATATATGTGGCTTGTAACCATTCTCAATGAGGACAAAGAGCAAGCATGACATAAATTGGTACTTCTAAACCATTTCCCCCTCCTGTCATTCTCTTTCATGGGGAATGCCATCAGGCTTTAACATCGAAACCATGGTTTTTTCAAAGGGAGGAAACTGGTCGCTTGTGACTGCTACAGTGAATCGACAACCTTTTCTGTGTCTTGAAAAGGCGGTCTGGATAATTATAAGTCAATTTCCTCCTCAATCAGATCATCTCGTCGACTTACCTTCAACTGTCAATACCTCCCGTCGCTGAGGGCAGGATGTTGAAATACGGCACCGCCAACGAAGTAAACAAGGCTCAAAAATCAAACCTCAGGCAGGTATTTATACATTCCAATGTGAACGCCACTTCCAAAATCGCAGTGCACTGCAAGTCACCGTCCATCTCATATCAGTCGCATCGCAACGATTGAAGCATACCCCATCCCCCGTGCGGCGAGATAAATTCCTATATCTAGGTCTTTTTCGTTATTTTATGCTGTCTATTTTGGGACATTGAGAGTCAGATGGTAAAAACTGTGAATCGGCCGACCCGGTCGGCCAAAGGAAATGCACTGATTTGTCGCTGATCTGTTGCCAAGTCGAACGATCATCTAAACAGGATCGGATGTTTTTGTTACCTGGTTGAGATGCAACCTTAAAAATATTCCATAGTGCCGTGGGGTATTTTAAAGAGTCTTCAAGGACATAATTGCTTGTGTTGTGTGACAAAATGCATTTCCACGAAAGGAAAAGATCTGTGTATGGAGGCCTTATGTTAGGTTGTTCAGTGTGCGCTATATAACGTCGTCGTGGCCGTCACCAAGATTTCCTGTTAA